GAGCGGTGCCGACAGTGACCTGTTGCAGAGACAGGGCCCGGTGGCTCCCTGGGTGCCAGCTTCCGAGGCACACCAGGGGGTGGGGCCCACTCTGGGCCGTGGGATCCAGAGGAGCTGCCTGGGCGGCCCCGATGCCACCTGCGAGGACAGTGGCCGGGAGAGGATGGAGGTGGCTGCTGCCCAGCCCTCCGCACGGTGGCTCTTTCCCAGGGAACACCAGCCCTCCCTGAGACACCACGGCTCAAGGGCCGGTAGAGTGCGAGAGAGCTGATGGCCAGGGACCGGCAGAGGGACACACTGCAGTCCCGGACAGACAAGGACAACTGTCCTGGCTATTCTGAGTCCCCACCCACAATGCACTGCCATCGCCTCTTCCTGTCTGGGGACCTTCCCAGCATGCAGACCCTCACATCTATCTGATCCCGGAGAAGCCCAGGGAGCAGGCCAGCGAGCGCAGCTGGCCCCATTGTATGCATTCTGCAAACCCTCCGAGGGGAAGGGCTGCGGCCAAAGCCACCCAGCCGAGCGGAGCGGCAGAGCCAGGCTGGAGATGCAAGTCCCGCGCTGAAGCTGAAAGCACGTGACCCCCACTGCTATTTTTTTGTTGTTGTTGTTAATCCTCATCGGAGGATATTTTTCCATTGATTTTTAGAGTGGAAAGCGAGGGGGGGGGGAGGCAGAAAGAGAGAAACATCGATGTGAGCGAGACACATCGTTTGCTGGTCTCCCCACGTGCTCCCCAACCAGGGCCAGGGATTGTGCCTTTGACCGGAATCGAACCCGGGACCCTTCAGTCCTCGGGTTGACACTCTATCCACTGAGCCAAACCAGCTAGGCCTTGACAGCTGTTTCTAAAAGAGCCCTCCCATTGTCTTTCCAGCATATCCACAACGTGGAAGGGAGTCCGGTCTCTGACCAGGGGCTCCGCATCAAACAAACCATAGGAAGATGAATTCTAGAACACGGAGCCAGAGGGACCTGTGGGGACCTTTGAAATCAGTGGTTCTCAGCTGGCCAATGAAGTCCCTTCCCCCCCCCAGGGGACAATGTCTGGAGACTTTTTGGTTGTCACAACTTGGACACCTGGAGAGAAGGGAAGGTTTGTTCCGCATATGGTGGGTGGCGGCCAGGGATGCTGCTGAACACCCTACAGCGCACAGCACCCCCCACCACGATACAATGATCCCGCCCCAAAAGTCACTAGCGCCGAGATGGAGAAACCCTGGTCTAAACTCCCAGGTTACTTCAAGTACAAAGAAACTGAGGCTAGCCCAGCCGGAATGGCTCAGTGATTGAGCATCAGCCTATGAACCAGGAGGTCATGGTTCAATTCCCGGTCAGGGCACATGCCAGGGTTGCAGGCTCCATCCCCGGTGAGGGGTGTTCAGGAGGCAGCCGATCCATGATTCTCTTACATCATGGATCTTTCTGTCTCTCTCTCCCTCTCCCTTCCTCTCTGAAATCATACAAAATTATTTTTTAAAAAGAAACTGAGGCCAAAGACACAAAGTGACTGCCAAGGTTACACAGCTCCAAAGCCAGAAGTGGAATCCAGAACTCAGCCGCATCCCTCTATCCTCAGCTCCGCTCTGCTCGGGCCGGGCCAGGCTGGGGCAGAAGCAAGGGTGGGACCCGAATGAAGCCAACCAGAGCCAAATGAACATGGCAATAGAGAAAGCAGCAGCGCACAGGGCATGCGCCCTGGGGGAGGAATGCCCCCTCAATTACCAACTAAACCGGCACTGCTGTGCAGGGTCCGCGGGTCCCCTCTTCCTGTGTGAGTTCCAGCACAGCCCCAGCTCCCAGAGGGCTCCGGGCCTCCAGGGAAGAAGGCCCAGGTCTCCTCCTCAGGCTGCCCACGCCTG